GTTAGCACCGTGTTCGGCTAGAGTTTGAGATGCTATGTCAAATTCTGTGCCAACATTAGGAAGAGTTTCCTGCAAACTGGAGCTCTGTGACAAGGACGGGCTGCTTGGCTTGTCTGGAGTCCTCTCCGGGGTGCAGGAAGATGCAGAGGTATTCGCACATCTTGAGTAGCCAGACAAAGCGACACCGAAGTTTCTCTCCACTTTAGCTCTGAGCCTGCGGTGCGGGCCGTGGGGTCGGCAGGGGAGGAGCGAGGTGGTTCCGCTACAGACGAGCGCAGATTTCAGACCAGTCCCCTGAATGATGGATGAGTCTGGTTTGGAGGCTCATGTGTTTTTAGTAACACAAAGAGAAGCTATTGGGAAAACAGGTAATTACAAGAATATGCAGGTTTGAGGGAGGAAAACCACCTTAATTTCCTTCTTATTCTTTTCCTTCCCCTTCCCTGTGCTAGAGTTAGCCACTTGCAGAGCTGGTCAGCGTCTTTGTTTAGGCTGCCATAACAAAACACCGTAGAAATTCATTTTCTCCCAGTTCTAGAGGCTGGAAGTCCAAGATCAGGGTGCCGGCATGGCTGGGTGCTGGGGAGGGGCTCTTCCTGGCCTTCAGACAGCTGCCTTCTCACTGTGTCCTCCCATGGCAGAGACGGCACGCAGGAAAGCAAGCTCTCTAGTGTCTCTTCTTACAAGGACACCGATCCCATCTGACCAGAGTCCCAGCCTCATGACCTCACCGAGACCTAACTGCAGTCGGCCCCTATCCACAGCTTCTGCCTCTGTGGCTTCAACCAACTGTGTGGGTCAGAGATGTAGTTAGGCCTGTGATGGTAGCATCGTACTGAACATGTACAGACCTTTGTTTCTTGTCCTTATTCCCTGAACATACAATGTGAAAACTATTTACATAGCATTTGCATTGTATTAGGTATCGTAAGTGATCTAGAGTGATTTAAAGTGTACAGGAGGATGTGCACAGGTTACATGCAAATGCTACACCATTTTACACAAGGGACTTGAGCATCCGTGGACTTTGGTACCCACAGGGGGGTCCTGGCACCGATCCCCCATGGATATCGAAGGACAACTGTTCTTCACAAAGTCCCCATCTCCAAATACCATCACAGCAGGGGACAGGGATTCAACATATGAACTTTTTGGGGGGGATTGGGGAGACACGGTTCAGCCCGCAGCAGCCAGCAACACATGGATTCAGGGACTGTTGCTGAGACATTAAGTTACGAGCTTGGTGACCGTTCCCAGACCAACTGGCATATTCTGTGTCGCTGCAGGACAGATGGAATTCTATGTGCAATCAACTCGTCCACCTTGTCATTCACCCGGGACATTTCTGAGCTCTCGCCCAGGTGTGTCGGGGAGGGATGCTGAGCTGGGACACTCTAGTGGGTAAGACAGAAGCACAGAGAACATTCCAATGCTCTGGGCTGTGCGCTGAGCTGGGAGAACTGGGAGGCCCTGTGGGAGCTCGGAGCAGGAATGACAGGCTGGGGGGATTCGGGAGGGCATCCAGGAGCCGGCAGCACCTGGGCTGAGTCCTGAAGCGGAGCTGATCCCGTCCAGAGTGGGGGCGGGGGCTTTCACGGCAGGGAGGAGAACACGTGTCTGCACTGGGGCTGCGAGGAGATACCAGCGCTCTGGAACTACCTGGAGACCAGACTCCCAGCTGGAGGGACCCGAGCTGGAGACACGTAGGTCGGATCAGTCATCGTGGGCGTGGGTTTTACCCTGAAGTTGATGAGGAGCCCTGAGGGAGTTCAAGCAGGGCAGTGACTGATCATTTACTGACATTAACCGGGCAGGAATGAAGGCGGAGATGACGGGAGGGGAGGAGCCGCCTGAGGCAGGGTGACAAGTTAGGTGGCTGGAGTCAAGCAGAGTGAGAAGTGAGGGTTTACTGTCCAAGGTGGAGGAAGCTGGGATGAAGTGGAAGGAAGGGAATTTAGAGTCACAGGAGAGAGTCAGAACTTGGACGGGTGAAGGAAAGGGAGGCCCAGCTCAGGCCCTGGGGACAGATGGACAGACAGACAGACAGACTAGGGCCAGCATGGAGACCCAGGGGGGCAGAACCAGGAGGGGCTCGGCAGCCTCGCCTGAGGACCTGATGTCTTGGGTAGTCTGGTCACCTGAGCAGTAAGTGCCCTAGGGACCTGCAGAGTCCTTTGGTAGAGTCCACAAATGTAATGAGATAAAATCTTAAAATGAAAATCTTTTTCTTCTTTCCTAAGTGCTCCCAACATTCTCCCAGCCAACCAGCAGCATCTACATGGCCTCAAAGAAAATTAGAATGCAAAGTAGTGAAAAGGAAAAAAAAAAGAGGAAAAAATGTTAATTTTTAAATTTTCAAACTAGACCCTTGAAGGTCTAAAGCCGAAGTTAGAGTTTATAAACCATAACAAGGTGACAGTGCCGCTGTTCCTCTGGGCCAGTCAGCCAAGAGTCAGATAGAGTTCTGGCTTCTTTTGCTAAGCCAAGGAATTCAGGCCATGGGGATACTGAAAGAAATAACTGATTCAGGTTGAACGTTGTTTCCCATGACAACTAACTAGTATGTAAGATTTTAAGATTAATGGTTACATTTCACAGGCGATAACATCAAACTTGGGAAGTTCAGATGTTCTTGCGGGTAATCTCTAGGGCTGCTTTTATGATTACAAGACGGGAACAGGATGGTTATGAATGTAAGTCTTTAGCCAGGGCCTTCATTCTTGTGCGCGCTTTTGGCATCCTCTTACACCTGTGTCGATAACCTCATCTCCCTCGAGTTTCTTTTCACAGGCAGTGGTTAATTATGAAGCTTTCAGGCTCTGGCTTTAGGCAGGATTTTATCAGGCAGTAAGAATAGATGTTTTCTTAAAATCTACAAACTCTCAAAATAGAGGGTTTGTAAAATGTAGGACTTTATGAAAAAGTACAGAACATTATATTAATAGATCTTTAAAGAAAAGATGGAGAGGTCTATAATATTATACCTCCACAAAAAAAAATTAGAATGAGAATAGAGGGGAGGTTAGAAGAAACTCTGTGCTTCTTTGCTTGGCAGAGGATGACCAAAAATGGGAAGGCCCCGAAGGTGGAGGGGTGTGTGTGTGTGTGTGCACGTGTGCATGAGATGGAAGAGATATTGAGCACATTCTTTCAAGAGGAAATCCAAGCTCAATATGGGTTCGAATCCTGACTCTACCAATTATTAGCTCTGTGACTGTAGGCAAATTATTTAACCTTTCTGTGTCTCAGTTCCCTCATTTGAAAAATGGGGTTTTTGACCGTAGTAACCTACATCCTAGAGTTTTGGGGAGGATTAAATGAGTTAATACATGAAACAATGCCTGACACACAATAAATAAGTGCTGCTATTATTGTTTGATTTTTGAAGAAAAAGGACCACTAGCGAGGGTGAGAGTGAAGACCTAGGAGAGGAGAGGAGGGGGTTGGATGCAGCGTGGGACGGACAGGGTGGGCTCCATGGCATAGGGGACTGACTGACTCGTCACCTTCTGCAGGAGAGAGGACCTTGCTCCTGAGGCAGGGGACATGGGCCAGGGAAGGTCCTGGATGCAGGTAGATCTGACTTTGAAGGCGGGAAGTTGAGCAAGAGTCTGTAATGGCCTTGATTTTATTCTGAAGTAGGTAGGGAGAGGGAACAGGCCACCTTGCCCTGCCTGGGGTACTATGTTAGCCTCCTGCTCAGTCTCCTCACTGCCTCTTTCTTCCTGGTCTAGATCTTCAACAGCTGTTTAACAACACAGAACACAGTAATCAAAACTCCTTGTTGATTGATCCAGCAGGACGTAGATATAAACCCAGACGAACTTCTCTCTGCATTAAAAAAAAAAAATGTATTTCATGATTGTACATGGAGACACTTGCAAGAGCCCCCATTTCTTGTACAGACCTGTAGACAGAGTGGCCAACATGCTTATAAAACGTGCCCCCAAACGGGATAGGAAGCTTTCTGAAGCTCAGAAGTAAATAGGCAGTAATGTCGATGAAATTGATCTGACCAGAAGAGTGCAGGGAAATCACTCACTCACTCACTCACTCACACACACACACAGTAGAGGTCTTTCTAGGCCCAGACCGAAGGCTGATTGTCCCCAATTGAAAAGGTCACCGTCTTTTGAATATCTAGCACATTGTGCTTTTCTTGGAGAAGTACCCCAGTCTCTTTTCTATTAGTGTGTGTGTGTGTGTGTGTGTGTGTGTGTGTGTGAGTGTGTGTGCGCGCGCTCGCCTGTGCTTTTCTTAGGGCCCTTCCCCAGCCTTCACCCCCAGACTCTAAGCCCCTCCTGAGCAGGGAGAATTCTGTGACTTAATCATCTTTATGTCTCTTGTAGTGACAACTATATCCTACTCATTGGGCATTCAGTGCACACCTGGCACATAGTAGGTGCTCTGTAACTGTTGAATAAATGAATGTTGAACTGAATGTGGTAATTACAAGAGTTGGCCAAATTTCTAAATATCTATTTTCCTTCTCGGCCAAACACGATTGCTGTTATAAGCTAACGCATTTGTAGTAATAGTGTTTCAAGGCCACATAAATCCGTAATAAAATCTACATAACAATCATTACACATTCTGGGCACAGAGCTAAGCGTTTGAGGAAGAGCTGCAGACTTCAAAACAGGCGTACATATTCTTTTCTACCAGATTGTGTTCTCTGAAGGGCTGACGGTGGCTGTAACAACCAGTTTGTTCTTTCCTAACCCGTTTCATCTGCGTTTAAAGCGCGCCTATCTGGCAGCGGGGAGGAGCCGGTGAGAGCGGCGGGGCGGGAGGCGGGAACGGCGAACTCGGCGTGCTGTGTCCTTCGCGGCGCCCCGTAGCTCAGGCCGGCGGGCGGGGGCGGCGCGCGGCCTTTTGAAAGCCGGAGGCTTCAAATCCCAACGGCCGCCTGCGAGCGCTCGTCTGGCTGTGCCGGTGGCGGCGGGGTGCTCCTAGGGGCCGCTCGGGACCGGCTTTCAAGAGGGCCTGGGCTTCGACCTCTCGCCGCCTTGGTCTTCTCCTAGCCGGGGGTGCGACTCTGGTAAGCGCGGCTGTTTTGCGGGCCGGGGCGGGGCCCTTGGTGACAGGCCCGGGACTGCGCTTTAGGCCCAGCGGGAAGGAGGATTTTAACGGCGAGCCGGGGGACAAACGGCCTGTCCCTGCCCCAGACATCCTACTGAGGGTGCGGCGTGAAGACCTTAGAAATAATCCCATCCCAACTATTCCTTTTACGTTCGACTTTCTACTTGCGTTTTGTTTCTCTTTTCTCATTATCTTTACTTTTTCTCTCATCTTTTGTTTTAACGTTTTCTGTTTCCCGTCTGCACCTTAGCTTTGCCAGTAGCATCCAGATATTTGTTGAGCTCCCGGGTGGCTTAGGGTATAAAAGTTACTGACACCTGATCCAGTAGATCTGTTGATTAGCGTGCGGAGCTCTGTTAGCTTTTTAATGCTGCTGCTTAAACAGTGCTTGATTGTGAAAAGTATCTTGGGTATTCCACAGAGTGTGTGTCATTCTGCCCATAGTCATATTATTGTCATTTCTAGTGTATCTTTATCTAAAATATTCAGTTTTATGCTGCTATCTTCACAAGAACCTTGTGGTTTAGAATTAGTATGGAATTTAACAGTTAATGTCTATAGACTGAGTACTACTAGAGTGTCCTAGAATATAAGGTTAAAAAACTTCTCTTGAAACCTAGTTGTTTTTAACAGAAGGTAGATTTTTTTTTTTCCTTAAAACACTAATGCTGCTTCTGAATATCGAATCTTCTTTATGCTGAGGGGGAACAGGCAGTGAGACTTGGAAGGCAATAAGACTCCCAGGACACCCTACTCGCCAGTTTTCCGTGTCCTACTTTGCTGGCCCCTCCTCAGATTGCTGTTCTTTATTTCTCGTTTTGGGATGGGCTACTTCTTTCCTATCTACACTTACTCCCAGATGTCTTACCTACTTTCTTGGCTTTAATACCATCTGCGTGCTGATATCCCACAAGTTTATATCTGTAGCTTGGATTCCAGACCCATATCCAGCTGCCTATTTGGCATTTCCACTTAGATGTCTAATAAGGCTTCCAAAATTGGGCTCCCGGTCTCAGTTTAGAGGCACCCCTATTTTTCCAGTTGTTTAATGAAAAAAACTTGGAGCCATTCTTAACTTTTCTCATTCCTATCCACAGTCCACATATCAGGAAATCCTGTTGGCTGCAGGTTCAAAATATGTCCAGAACCCAGCCATTTCTTACCATCTCTACTACCATCCTGATCCAAGCCAGCATCGTCTCTCCCAGGCTGCTGTAATAGCCACCTTGCGGGTCTGATTGCCTCCGCCTTTATTCCCCACCAGAGTGATCCTGGTTATCCTGTTGAAACATTACTTGGAGCGTATACTTCACAAAACTCTCCAATAGCTTCCTGTCTCTCAGGAAAAGCTGAAATCTACTGTGACTACAGCTCTCTGGGTGGGGGCCACAGTCCTTACGGCTACCTGCTCTGCTTGATTTGCCCCACCCCCAGCCTCTTTGACTTCATTTCCTTCTCTTCCTGCCTAGCTGTGTCCTGGCTTTTCCTTGAACATATCTGCCTCAGAGTCTTCCTATTTCCTACTTCCTCATTCTGGAAGATTTCCTCTGGATAGTTGCATGGGCCTGCTCCCTCACTTCCTTCAGAGGACAATTTCTCAAGGAAACCTTACTTGACCACCTCACCTCTTCCCAACACCTGCCTCCCTTCCCCTGAGATAGTATATATTTATCCTATTGTCTGTTTGGGTCTTGTTTGCTGCTGTGTTTCCAGTGCCTAGAGCAGTGTGTTGTTACCGTACATGGTACATGCTCAGTAGGTACTTGCTGACTGAATGAGTAGTCAGGAGTAGTTGCACAGAGGTAGATAGAAATCGTAGAAGATCTCTGAGGTGCTCCATCACAATATCTTGTGGGGAAAGATAAATGCACATGGAAAAAGAGGAATCAGAATCATGTGGGGAATTACTTTCGAAGTAGAAGTGCCTCCTTCTGCAACCTACTCTGCTAAACAGTTTATCCTTCCCGAAGTTCTGAAACTGGTCTCAGAAATACTATGTTGTTCCTGCCTTTAAGTTAAATGTGTCACTTGATAAAATAATTATGTTTTTGGCAAGTACACTAAAAGGGCCTCTTCAGTGTTCTCAATACAGACAAATCTCAACACTGTAGTGACAGTAGCCACATTTTATTTATTTTTATTTTTTTGAGACAGAATCTTGCTCTGTTGCCCAGGCACTAGAGTACCACGGCATCAACATAGCTCACAGCAACCTCCAACTCCTGGGCTCAAGCGATCCTCCTACTTCAGCCTCCTGAGTAGCTGGGACTACAGGCATGCGCCACCATGCCCGGCTTATTTTTTCTATGTTTAGTAGAGATGGGGTCTTGCTCTTGCTGAGGCTGGTCTCAAACTCCTGACCTCAAGCCATCCTCCCACCTGAGCTTCCCAGAATGCTAGGATTATAGATGGGAGCACCACGCCCGGCCAGTAGCTACATTTTAAACAAAACAAACAAACTTATTAATAGGCAAAGTTGGGCCTTTGAGATGATTTTTTTTTTCCCCTTGGTACACAGTTTTTAAAGGTGCTATTAAGGGCTCTATTAAAAATTTATGAAAATCTTTCTCTGCCTCCCAATTTTTTTATAGACAAATGAGCTTATAGACATGTAGGAAGTTTTGCTTTATAATAAATCTGATGTAAAACCTAAATTTTAGGTTATTATAAACCTAAAATTAAAAATTAAAATTTTTTAAAATTAAAAACAATTCTTAAATATGTCACAGAAGAATTGAAAAGGTTGAGTTGATTTGTTTGTATATGCAATATGTACATTTATTTTCATGGATAATTTTTATAAGTTTATTGACATTCATGTATCATAAAATTTATCCCTTGAAAGTGTACAATCCAGTAGTTTGGTATACTCAGAGTTGAATATATTAAACCATTGTCTAGTTTTAGAACATCTTCATCACCCCAGAAAGAACCCACTGACAATCACTTCACATTCTCTTCTCCCCCCTTAGCCCCTGGCAACTATTAATACTAAGCTATTTTTTGCATCTGTGGATTTGCCTATGCTGGGCATTTCCTATAAATGGGATCATCATATATACATGGCCTTTATGTGTTTGGCTTCTTTCACTTAGCATGTTTTCAAGCCTTCGTTCATGTTGTATATATCAGTACGTTATTCCTTCTTATGACTGAATAATATTCTATTGTATGGCTATATACCACATTTTGTTTATCCATTCATTGTCTGAGGGATAGTTCTGTTGTTTCTACTTTTTGGCTATTATGAATAATGCTGCTTACAGTTTCCTTAAAGGATACAAGAGACCTGTTAACAACTACTCCTGGGAAGTGTGAGAGGGAGACAAACTGTTTACCTTGTTGTACTAGGTGATTTAACAATTGCATATATTACTTTATAATTAAAACAAAAGTACCCAATCACTAATATTACAACCATGGGTAAGAACTTGTACTTCTAGGTTTCAGTTTTCTCATTGTAAATAAAATTGGACTAAATATTTGTTGAGGTCTTTTTCAGTTCTTAAAGTTTTATGTTTGTATGATAAATTGAGTGATAATGTTCTAGGAATTTTTTCTTCAAGAATGAGAGTTGTATTCTTTATAACTGTAGTGTAACTTTCAGTGTGTTTTCATTTTAGGACCTAGAGTGGTTGTTACAATGGAAGGAATCAGTAATTTCAAGACACCGAGTAAATTATCTGAAAAAAGTAAATCTGGTAAGATAGCAGATGTAAGACCTTTCTTACTATTGCCTTTGTTATCACTATTAGAAATGTCTTAGTATTGTAGTTTGGTCCTTTGTTATCTATCATGCACAGTTTTAGCATAAATCCCCTTTATAATGTTAATCTTAACAAGACATTTTATAGTTGTTCATGAGCAGAAGCAGAACTCTTCTATCTCATCTTTTTTATGGCTGAATAATGCTCTGTAATATATACATACCATAATTATGCCTCTAATCATGCTCACTTAGGTTTTTTGTTTGCAGCCACAAAAGCAAATCCCAGTATACAAATGAGTATGCTTGCATGCATGTATGTGTGTGATCTCTTTGGTTACATGTGTAGTGCAAGGGTCAGCAAACTTTTTGTAAAGGGCCAGAGAGGACATAGTTTAGGCTCTGTGGGCCACATAGGGACTCTATTGCATGTTCTTCTTTCTTTACTTTTTAATACCATTTTAAAAATGTAAAAACAACTTTTAGCTTGTGGGCCGTACAAAAACAGGCCATTTAGTGTTACTGTAGGACAGAGCTCCAAAAGTAGACTTGGTCAAAGGGTATCCATTTAAAATTAGGACAGATAATACCAGATTGCTCTCCAAAAAGACTATGCCAATTAATACTCTTAGCAATAGTATATTAAGAATGTTAGGATGCTTTTGTATAGATCTTTGCAAATATTAATTTTGTTTTTTCTCTTTCTGACATTTAGTATCATGTTCAACTCCATGTATAAATATCCCTGCCTCTCCGTTTATGCAGAAGCTTGGCTTTGGTACTGGGGTAAATGTTTACCTAATGAAAAGGTGAGTATAAGATTTCAGATTAGCCTTTTTCTGTGGAACCGTAGTTTGCTGTACTTGGAGACAAAACAAAAAAAAAGAATATAAAAATTCAAATATTTAGATTTGGGGCAGGTTCCTGATCCTACCTGACTGCCATATTCCAGTTGCTAGAACTTTTTATAACTTTGCCAGGGTTTTGCTTGGTATGCTTTTATCCTGGCTTCTTCATGAAGGTGAAGTAGTTTACCTTATAATTTTTTCTTGGTTTTATAAGAAGGGAAGTGGCAGAGAAAAGGGTTTCTTTGTGGTAGTAACACAAGATTCTTAGAAGAAAACCTCAAAGAGGAAGCCAGTATTGTGGGATGTCTTTGACTAATATCTCTTATGTCTAGAAAGTTACCTTCCCAAGATAGTTTCTTCTAAAAGAAATAAAAGGTTTTTATTTCTTATGGCATCATTATGAAGTAAGAAGGATAATAAATACATGATTTTAAAGTATGGAAAATTGTTAAAATGAAATAATTGAACAAGTATGGTGCTAATATAGATGTCAACAGTTTATTTTTGTTTTTCTAAATTTATTTTGATTACTCTGTACTTAGTTCCATGTTTAAGTGGCAAACAACTAAGTCAATATATGTTCCTTAATGCATTCTTAGAATCAGCCTGATTAGTCCAACGCTGCATATCTTAACTTCATCTAGTTTTATCCTGTTTCCAAATAGAAATGCTTTCTTTAATAAGAGGCTCATGGATTGCAAATAGTCCAGCAATTACATACAAATGGGTATTCCTGAAGCATTTTTTTCAGTTTAAATACTTTGTGTGTTTGTATGCTATGAATTTGTTTTGTAAACACTTACTGTTTAACTCCCAAGTTATTTTGAAAGAAAAAAATTCTCACAGGTTCATGGGTTAGTTTTCCCCCACTTTAAAAAAAAAAAGTTTTTAAATGTAAAGCGTTTTTAACAAAGGTATACCTTCTGTGGCTTAGTCAGAAAGCTTCACACAGCTGATCTTGGAAAGTAGCAGCTCCTGCCTGACTCTGCCACTCCTAACGATGCAGCTGTGTCAACCTGGGGTTTCCTCTCCCCGTAACCTGTACATTTTCTTTGCTTCTCTCTTGGATTGGATCCTCCGTTTTTCTGTATATCTTATTTCGTGGTTTATGTCACATTTTGGTTAAGGACATCAGGTAGCTCCCCATGAAAAGGTGCACAGAAGATACATTTTTTGAGAATTAGCATTTTTAAAAATGTCATTTTACTTGTAGGCTTTCATGGCCCTTTTTGTTTTTCTGGGTTAGAATCTTGTTTGGAAATAACTTTTCCTAGAATTTTGAGACTATCAGTCACTGACATTTTTAGTTTACACTGTCGATATTGAGAATTATGAAGCCTTTCTGACTGCTGATTCTTTGTGTGTAGTCTGTTACCTGTCCCTCTCACTGTCATCGATCCCTGTATGATCTTTTTGTCACCAGCATTCTGAAATTTCACAATGACATGCCTGTGTGGGGGCCACTTGGAATCTGATGGTTCCTGTTCTTAAATTAGAGAAATTATTTTTCAAATTTGTTGATTTTCACCTGTTTTTCTGTTCTCCATCTGGAATCCTATTATTTGAATGTTGAACCTAATGGACTGATACCTGATCTACCTTTTTTGATGATGATTATATATGGGCCAAATGTTTTTGAGCATCTGTTCTTTAAATTTCCTAGAGATTAATGTTTATTACTTTAGCATCCTATAAGTCATCTCTACATATAGTTAAATGTTCGATGAAGAGTTGGTAGTCTGACATGCTCAAATGGAAAAATTATAATAGAAAATAGTGTAGCAGTTTTTATAACATTTCATCCATATCCTTCCAGTTCTTTTTATCCCTTCCATTTAGTGTATAGATATCAGACTTCTCAGTATATCAAATATTTACCTCCCAATTGGAATGGAAATGTATTCTGAAATATTTTACATTTTTTAAAAACAAATTACTATCAAGTCTTTTCAAAATTTGGAAGTTCTTTTTAGTCATTTCAAAATGTATTGTGGCTTCTCTTCTTCTAGATCTCCAAGAGGTTTGTCTCATTCTCCTTGGGCTGTGAAAAAGATTAATTCTATATGTAATGAACATTATCGAAGTGTGTATCAAAAGAGATTAATTGATGAAGCTAAGATTTTGAAAAGCCTTCACCATCCAAACATTGTAGGTAAGTTTAAATTATTATTTTTATCTAGAAATAGTTTATGCACTCTTAACTGGTTTCACTAATAAAAATCAAGAGGATGACGCTGAAGATTGTCAGGAATCAAATTAATGTGATTACTCTAAAAATTCACGTATAATATTTTTAGATATTTAAGTAATATATTTAAATTTCATGGGAATAGATACAGTCCTTATGGTGCTGGTACTTTAAGGATCATTTAATATTCCTGAAATCTCTAATTTCCTAGTTTTCATTTTGTATTTTTAATACAAATTTGGCTAGTGAAACTACTATATTTAAGGAGGTATAGAATAGTAAAATATTTTAATTTGTGGTACTATTGGCACACATTGAAGGCATTTTAAATTAGATCTACTTTATTAGTTTTATAAATAATGGCTGTTTCATTGTATATTTGTCATTGTTAGTCCAGATACATGTTTTCAATCACATTACTGTAAAAAATACTGTTATTCTTCCCTGTACTACTAACGAAATGTTTTGTTTTCTTTAAGGCTATCGTGCTTTTACTGAAGCCAGTGATGGCAGTCTATGTCTTGCTATGGAATATGGAGGTGAAAAGTCCCTAAATGACTTAATAGAAGAACGAAGGAAAGATAGCCAAGATCCTTTTCCAGCAGCCATAATTTTAAAAGTTGCTTTGAACATGGCAAGAGGGTTAAAGGTAACTATGCCGTTGTATTTTAAATAACTTTTGTGGAATACGAAGACACTAAACACATGCTATACCTAATTACAAGGTGGGATTTTTCTTTTTTTCTCTCAAAAGAGGGAGTTTCCTTAAGTTAAAGTCAACATAGAGTCTTTCAGAGTGCACTATTTCTTCATTTTGATCAACAAAGTATTGTTTGGGGCCCTCACATAAGCCTGAAATAATCTACATCAGGTAGTTTTGCTGTAGAGACCATGTGTTAGATTTAGTTCAATGGATTAATACATGTAACAGAAATTTAACAATTATTCCTAGGGGTATAGCCTAACCCCCCCATTGATTCGAGCAAAGCTCTTAAAGGTTACTTTGTGGGGTATGTTTTGCACATCATGAGTATATCTACAGGTCTACTGAAAAAAGCTCTCTCAACATTATGCAAAGAAATTATGCTTTTTGTAAGAATTTTTAAAAATTCTGTATACTAAATAAACAGAAGTAATGACTGCTCCAGGAAACTATTGGGTGACTCAAAAGTGTATCAGGTAATGATGATACTGATGTCAGAGTTACATATTAAGAGTTCAAATAAGACTGGGTGTAGTGGCTCATGCCTGTAATCCCAGCACTTTCAGAGGCCAGGGGTTTGAGACCAGCCTGGGCAAAAGAGGCCTTGTCTCACAAAAAAACAAACAAAAGTTCAAATAAAATTGATTTATGAAACAGACTGGAAAAAGTGTTTCTAAATATATTATTTAGATTATGTTATATTTTAATACATTTTTAAGTGGCTAGGATAAACTAATTTGAATTATTTAATAACTAAATTTTAAATGTAGATGTATAATGGAATTAATAAATTACATTGTAAATGTATTTAGGCCTATTCACTTTATGATGGGCATTTAATTAAGCACAGTAAGTGCTGCTGTATAAAGAGAAGCTACATACCAAGAATTGTCTCTGCATCATCTCCATGCCCAGCTCACAGAGGAGATATTCAGATGCTGAAGAATGAACAAATAATCATTTTACAGGACATCTTTCAGCATGGGTGAATATTATTACTTGTTAATTCAAAGAGGGGGTTAATATATAAAACAAAGTATAGTATTAGGTTACATTTCTGCTTCCTCTTCTTGTGAATTACAGTGAAATGCATCATTTTGGCAATTTGGTTGTTGTTTAAACATCATGGGGTGCACTTACACAAACCTAGATGGCATAGCCTACTATACCCCTTGGTTATACGATACAGCCTCTTGCTCCCAGGCTACAAACCTGTACAGTATGTTACTGTACTGAATACTGTAGGCAACTGTAACACACTGGTAAATATTTGTATATCTAAACAAAGAAAAGGTACAGTAAAATTACAGTATTATAATCTTAGACCATTGTTGTATATTGTCTGTCATTGACCAAAACATCAGTACATGGTACATGACTCTATGCAGCCCTAAGTCATCTGTTGTCTCATATTGTCTCAATAGACTAGCTTCAAGTAAAACTGCAGTAGTACCTTCTGATATAAAAGTATGTGTGATGAGTCTGAAAATACAAAGTTAACCTATCAGTTAACATCTACTTCTAAAAAAAAATCTATTAGATTTCTGGTATGGCAGACCAACATATTATAATATGGAATGTTTTCTCTTGCTTCAGGTAATTTGAAATGCTGGACAGATATAAGCCTGTAGTTTAGAGATGGTGTTCAAGATGTTATTTTTATTTGAAGGTTATATTTTTTTATTAGTTCATATTTTTGCTCATATGTGCTAAATTTTTTACTATTTTAGTATCTGCACCAAGAAAAGAAACTGCTTCATGGAGACATAAAGTCTTCAAATGTTGTAATTAAAGGTGATTTTGAAACAATTAAAATCTGTGATGTAGGCGTTTCTCTAACATTGGATGAAAATATGACTGGTAAGTAGTATTTTTATATAGTTTT